CAGGACAGCCGCATGCTCCGCGTGAATGCTTCTTTCGCACGGCCCACTAGCACGAGCGCATTAGTTTGCCTCCCCCCAGTCTGGTCAATCACCTTTCAAAATTGACTCACGAAGGACCCTGCTGCGATGACTACCGCCAGGCTCAGACACTTCGAACCAAGCCCCCCTCGCGGCTGGAAGTACGGTCCGAAAGTCAACTTCCACCAACCTATTCTCCTATCCTTCTATACAGAATAAACTATTCCTTCCACGCTGGCCTTCAAATTCTTCTCTTTCTCTACGGAACCAGGTCATGAGATCTTAGTGGCAAGAGTATTCCCTAGTACTTTAACCCCTGTGATAGGGGCACACAAAAACAACTACACACAGAGACATAAGCGGAAGGTACTCATTGATAGGGAAATAGTAGTTTGCGGGACGATAGGACTCAGTGGGATTGTTTTGCACTAGCCAGTCTACCACAGCATCAACATGCACCCGTATACGCCCTCGACCCCGGAGAGGCTTAAGATCCCCTTAAATGTCAGCAAAATACAGAGCAAAAAGGCGCTGGAAGAATCGAGCTAGAAGACTTTCAGCTGGTATGTCGAATAAGCTCCAATTAGAGTCGGTGTAACAACTGGCCTTTTCTGTTCTTTAGATGTCCACATTTTTCGAATTACGCCTGCTAGGCACCCAACAAATTTAACACAGGAAGTGCTGCTCGGATACTTATGAACCTTCCGACAAAATTTGGAACGGGACTAATTTCGGAGACCTCTGCCCATCTTCGGTTTTATCCCGGGAGCACACTACCGAGCAGACTGAAATAAATGATGGACACTAAAATCCAGCCATCGCGTTCTCCAATTACTATTATGATTCGGCTCAGTTCCGTCCTTGGATTAACAAAGTGATTTCATCGGGCAATTGTCTCGCCTACATTAGCGCGAAGTCGAGAGTTGTTTTCTTGAAGACGATCTCGGGTGATACTAGACAGAACTACGTGAGGATCTTTCTGGTTGCCTTGGAGTAAATAACTTAGCCCATGCAAGACAACTGCAAATTTTCCGACCCAAATTAGAGTAAATGCCAGGTCGGACCACAAGCGAATGGGTCGACACCAATTGAAAGTCAGGTAAGGCCTTTATGCCTTCTGGTTATAACTTTTGTTCTGACATCGTCAATCGAAGGAACAAGGTTGTTGATGATAACTGTTCTGCAAATTTAAATTCATTCATCCAAAGGGCATATTCGACTGGACATATATTCTCTTATATTGACTTTTGTCCGTGTAAAGACTCATTCGTATAGTTCGCGAGCGATCAATAACACGTGAGTCGTTTAATCAATAATATGTGCAACCCTCCGTTAAATGCTGTTCATAAGGCCCGCGATAGGCCTGGCAGTAGGATCGACCTTCGCACAGTTCTAAACGACGCATTTCCTACTAAGCGGTAAACCGTTTGATTACCGAGCCTTGTCTGTCTAACCATACGTCATTATGCAAACATATTGTACCTGCTCAAGTGAAGCAAAGCTCCACTATGCTGTCATATCGAGAAAATATCACATTTCCTCTTTTTTGGTTAAGACGAGGATACTACTGATGGTATAATTTCCTGGGACGATAGCCAAATAGTGCAGACGACTGTCCCACGTGCCGAGATGTACACGCAACTTTTACCTGTCTGGGAATTAATCGATGCATAAACGGTTTAAAAAGAGTGTTCCAGACATTAGACCCGTCTAGGTACCACATTGCCAGTGACCTTGGGAGTAGAACGGCCTTCCTCGCGAAGCGTTGAAGGCGTACAGGTGACTTCAAATTTGGCTGCAAAAAGACGTGAAAGCTGAAATTGAAGCACATTGCCATGCCTCGTGGATGTGCAGCAAAGGAGCTGTGTCAGTCTTCATACTCCCGATTATGTTGGAGCAAGGATGGTGATTGTGGTGGGGAGGGGGGGGGAGAGGGAGGTTTCCCAATCTGTTTCCACCCAGATAACCTGCCAAGGGCAAGCTAATTATCAGCACTTGCTCTAGGCAGAGTTTTATCATCAGTATGAGGGATTTGATCCAGTCAGGTCAGAGTCCATTTTAGTAGACGACAGCTGAAGACTCGAACTTAAGGAAGGAATAAAATAAAGGCGGGCCTTCGACATAATTGCAGGGTTCGATCGGAAAATTACGGCAATCGAGATACCGGAGGTGAAAACCTATTTGCTGCGGACTTTACCAGTCCCTCCGGCTAATTGACCGTACTGCATCAACTTGACCAGTCAAAAGCCCAAGACTGTTTCGCCTGATACGAAATATCTGACATCTTCGCAAGCACTATGGAGTGGGAGGGATGTCAGTTAAGCTGAGCTATGGCCTAGGAAAAGATGCAAAATTGGCGGATCGTAAAAAATGAATCAAGGCAACGGTGCCGAGAGGACCAGTTTAATTAGTGTTCACGGTTGCTAAGTCATCTGTTTTTCACGTCCATCAGTAGCACCATTGCTTTTTAGTATCCAGCAGGACAATGAGAGTGATCCTTGTTTTAATTACGTCGGCGCGGTTACTTTGAGTCTGGTCCAGGATGCTGTAGGTAGTGTGCCCTCGCAGATAAGGAGGTGTATTGATTGTCCCCTCCCTGGTGGCGTTCTCCAGCCCCATCCTCCCTTGTAGACAGTTGTGAATAAGAGTTGCCCTTTCTGCGAGGGCCCACGGAGTATTCCCTTCTCCGGTGGTAGCCCCCAGCTCCACCTTCCCCCGATTGC